CAGCTGGTAGTTTCGAACCGCTGACCTTAAGGTTCGCAGCCCGATTCGTAACCACTACGCTACCAGAGCTCCTTTTGACTATTTATTAGATCTTCCTAAATAAAATTTTAAAGTATAAAATTATTTTAGGTTTTTCCCAGGTATAACAAGCTGTAAACTTCAAACGGAAGCCAAGATGGGTGAAAAGAAACCCGAGCCTTTGGACTTCGTGAAAGATTTCCAGGAATACCTGACTCAGCAGACCCACCATGTGAACATGATTTCTGGATCCGTTAGTGGGGACAAAGAAGCAGAGGCTCTTCAGGGAGGTAGGCTCATCAGTCACTCTGTAAAAATGTGTTGTAGATCTTTCTGTTTTCTTCCAGAAGGATTTAGGGCACTTTTCGCTTCTTTAAACACGTCAGAATTTTGCTGAGGGAGGGCAAGGGCTTCCTGGGGCTTAGGGCTGCCTGTGGTCTTGGTGGAAGGGGCGGGGCTTCTCAACAGCTGTCCTGTTCTCCAGCTTCACCACACAAAGAACTGGGCCTCCCTGCAAGTCGGAAGGAGACCTAAAACCAGAATAGGGTTTCTGTTTGTTCCCTCCAAAAATTGGTCCCCAGGGAGGGCTGACCACGTTGACCCATCCAGGAGGAGAAACTGGAACAGGGAATACAACGGCCAGCTCGAATCGATTAGAGGTAGACTGGAAACTGTTCTTGAACCTAGGTCAGGAGTCAGCAAACTACAGCCCGTGGGCCACGTCTGGACTGCTGCTGTCTCTCCTGCAAACTAAAAATGGTGGTTACATTTTAAAATGGAAGGGAATATGTTGAAATTCAAACTTCAGTGTTCATCAACAAACATAATGAGGCCCGTCCATTGACATGTCTTCGGTAGCTGCTTTTGTGCTCCAGAGGCATTGAGTTGAATAGTTGTGACAAGTATCCTGTAGCTGACAAAGCCTACAGTACAAGGGGGCTTCAAAAAGTTTGTGGGAAACGCCATTATCTTTTCATTCCTTTTCTCCATGAACTTGCGAGAGCTTCCTCATAGATACCTATTTGGCCCTTAACAGAAAGCCAGCTGCTCCCTGACCTAGATGGTCTCACCCAGGAGCTTGTTAGAAATACAGAATCACAGCCCACATCTCCTGAATCCGAATCTGCGTGTTAACAAGTTCCCAAGTGATGGGAGAGCAAGTGGCAGAGAGGGAATCAGGGAGCCTCATTGTCTGTCTGGTGCAGTGGTCCTGTAGGATGTTGGACTTACACCAAGCCCCCTTCTCTTCTGGGGAGGAGTGGAGGAGACTGTGGAGCCGGGGGCTTGGATCATTCACACCCACACTGCTATGTCCTGGGGGTGGAACAGAAGTTCCTCTCCCGTGAAGCTGTAGGAATAATAGGTCTCCAACACTAGTGGACAGGTTCCTGGAGACCACGCGTCAAAAGATGAGGATTCTAGTCTCCATTGTCGTCTGGGTTTCCTGCTTAATGTGTCTTTAGTTTCTTTTTCTGTACAAAGAAGTGGTTAGAATAGATGAAAAGTAAACTGGCAAGCAAACACCGTCTAGCTCTGAAATTCTCCCAGTCCTTAGGTTCAGAATAGCAAATACAATATTTTCCTTTAGTAAAAATGCTAATAAGCTCCTCAGTGCAATGCAAAAACTGAGAACATTTGCATAAACTGGGTGGGACAATGCAAGTCAGTGTTCACTGCTTTAGAGTAAAGTAAACATAGTCTAATACCCTCATCTAGGCTTCAGAAGCATGTTGAGGACTAATCCAATCAGACTTAAGTATTTGACATCCCCCCTATTAAAAGGGTCTCAAAAACAATACACTACTGCTTTTGTATAAAATTAGCCCCAGTCCTAAAAGTAGTCTGCATTATATTTTGAAGTTAAATTTTGTGGTAAGTGAATTGGCAGCTTATGGAAAATTTGTAATACTCAAGACTATAAAATGCTAAATTGCCTTGATCCTGAGATGCCTAATCTCTTTCACTGTACTTTGTTTATAGCTGGAACAGATGGTGATCAGAATGGACTTGATCACCCATCTGTTGAAGTTTCCCTGGATGAAAACTCAGGAATGTTAGTAGACGGGTTTGAAAGGACCTTTGATGGGAAGCTCAAGTGTCGGTACTGCAACTATGCCAGCAAAGGAACAGCCCGGCTTATCGAGCACATTAGAATCCACACAGGTAACAAGGAAACAGCTGGAGAAGGCATTTCTTTGGGGACAGGAAAGGGGGCAGCAAGGCAGGTTGATTGTTCATATACATTTTTTGTTGTCCAGTCGGTCCCGACTTAGAGCAACCCTGTTGTACAGCGTTTCCAAGGAGGAGCTCGTTGGTTTGAACTGCCAACCTTGTGGTTGACAGTCCCGTAGCTCTGATCATTTAAAATTGAAGGCTATTAAGATTTGAATAAAAAGGGAAGTCACTCAGCTTTACAAAGCTCTGGCTCAGCAGCGCCCATGGGGGCAGGGAGGGCCACTTTCTGCAGAACGTCCCCTTAGGCAGCTTCCTTCTTGAGCCACTTCATCTCTCGACAGCTGCTGCTTCTCAGGATTGGCAGGTGGACGCTGGGAGCCGTGTGAGTCAGTAGAATGTTCTTTATCATAGTACGTACATTTCAGTTGCAGAAAGGGAGAAAGGGCTCTTTATACACCTCCTCCTCACTTACTGTCTCGTTACCCAACACTTGTCATCGCGACAAGAGCGAAACATCCATGACTACCCAACTGTTATTAACACTCTACATCTGGCAGTAATGAACGCTAAGGTGCCAGGCAAGCTCCACACGGCTCTGATGGCTACAGTTGTGTGTCAGTTTGACTGGGCCATCATTCTCGGTGGTTCAGTAGTTATGTAGTGGTGGAATTTGGCAGTTGGACAGTGATGTAGGGAGCATGGTGGCTCCATACGATAAGCATTGGACTGCAAACTACAAAGTCTGCAGTTCGAACCCTCAGCCTCTCCACAAGATAAAGGTGAGGCTTTGTGTTCCTGTGATGATTTAAAGCCTCGGAAACCTTATCCAGGGACACTGTGAGTCAGAACCAACTCAGTGGCAAATAAGAATAGCAGTGATGTAGCCATTCTCCATTTGGTGATCTGGTGTGGGCTTCCTGAGCACACCAGTGTTTGCACGTGTGGCTGCAAACTGCCTCTCTTCCTTGAGTCTCACCTCAGTCATTGCTTTTGAGAAACCCTAACTGCACACAAGCATTCCTGGTATCCCTCCTTTGCTCCCCAACACCCTGCACCCACTCGTCCCCACTGAGGACAGGGATTGTGGCCGGGTCATCTCGGTACCCCCAGGACCTAGCAGAATAGGGGCACAGAGTCGACACTGTACATGCCCAGAGTGACTCCAAATCCCGCCCTCCAGATGTTTATTTTGCAAACTAGAGCAGCCACCAGCCTTTCAGCTTTGAGCTTTTGTTTCATGTTAGGACTTACAAAGTGTTTGTGAGAGGAGAGAGAGCATGTCGGAGTGTTTACAGATTTACACATGAACTATAACGGAGAAATACACTTGATAAGATCACTATGTAGGGATTTGTTAGTATTAGAATATTATTGTCAGTTGGGCTATTTCGTCTTCCTGTAAATCCAGTGGAAGCCATATCTTTTTATACTATGGTGACTAACATCTATACCTATCAAACTGTTGAGAGTAGGCTTGATGTAAGCTTGCGGGTTCGTTACACATTCTGTTCATCTTTGTGCAGATGAGGGACCTTAGTGTTCTTATAAATGTGTATTACATTTCTTCTGGAATTTCAGAAAAACTTTTTGCTCAATTTCTAAATCCAGTGAGTGGACCGACATGAAACTTTGTGCAAATGAGCTACTCTTGCAGTTTCTCTCCCATCTTTCTGTTTAAACAGGTGAGAAACCTCACAGGTGTCACTTGTGTCCATTTGCGTCTGCTTATGAGCGTCATCTGGAAGCCCATATGCGTTCCCATACCGGAGAGAAACCATACAAATGTGAATTATGTTCCTTCCGCTGCAGTGACCGGAGCAACCTGTCCCATCATCGAAGGCGCAAGCATAAAATGGTACCAATTAAAGGTACCAGGTCTTCCTTGAGCAGCAAGAAAATGTGGGGGGTTTTACAGAAGAAAACGAGTAATCTGGGGTATAGCAGAAGAGCTCTAATCAACTTAAGTCCACCCTCCATGGTGGTTCAGAAGCCAGACTATCTTAACGATTTCACCCATGAAATCCCAAATATTCAGACCGACGCCTATGAAAGTATGGCGAAAACCACACCCACTGGTGGCCTGCCAAGGGACCCCCAGGAACTCATGGTTGACAACCCTTTAAATCAGCTCTCGACGCTAGCGGGACAGCTGTCCAGTTTGCCTCCTGAAAACCAAAACCCCGCGTCCCCTGATGTAGTCCCCTGCCCCGATGAAAAGCCTTTCCTGATTCAGCAGCCCTCCGCCCAGGTGTCGGCAAGTATTCCCCAGAGCTCCTCTCCCAGCAGCCCGGACCCTCGGCCACCACACACTCAGAGGAACTACAGTCCAGTGGCCGGGCCCAGCAGTGAGCCCAGCGCTCACACGAGTACTCCCAGCCTAGGAAACAGCCAGCCCAGCACTCCAGTGCCCACCTTGCCGTCCCAGGACCCCCAGCTTCTGCACCACTGCCAGCACTGTGACATGTATTTTGCAGACAACATCCTCTACACTATTCACATGGGGTGTCACGGATACGAGAACCCTTTTCAGTGTAATATATGTGGATGCAAATGTAAAAACAAGTATGATTTTGCCTGTCATTTCGCGAGAGGGCAACATAACCAACACTGACTCAAAATAGTCTCTTCGTGCTTGCTTTGGGGTGAGGGCTTTTGTTTGTTTTGGGTGGTCCCAGATGATCAAATGTCTGCTAATTTAAAGTTTATACATTATAGACTATAAATATAGTAGAAACAAACATCCCCTCCCTTTTTTTTATTTCATAGAAATCTAGCCAGGGTCATTTATGTGTTAGAACAGTGAGACAGATTGGTGTCTGATTTTTCCTTTTGTTTAAACATAGAATTGGGCTCCGATCACTCTCTTAGATGTCCTCACTTAAATGTCCCACATTTATGGTCCATAAAAACTTCAAGGCTGATCCGTACTCTTGATATTGCAATGCACTGCAACTCGACGTTATTTCTGCCATATTTCACAATGGTAGAATAGATGATTTTCTCTTCAAAAATCTGTTACAACTTACTTCTGTGTGTAGTTAGGAGAGTTGCCTTTAAATTTGATATGAATTGGAAAGCTGTTTAATTCACATAATTTAAGTTGAACCAATAGTTTTATTTCAGCTTACGCAGTGAAGCAAGTAATCTTTTTCCACAAGGGGAAATGTAAAGCAACTTGATTTTTTTTTTTTTTTTTTAAATGAAAGTGATAAAAATATGAAGTGAAAGTTATCCTTAAAGGAAAGTTCTGAAAAAAAAAACCAAGACTTTACACTGAAAATATTATCTTTTTCCACTGTAACTGAAGAAATTGGGGTTTAATATTTAAAATATGTTCAATTTCTATTGTAAGCAAATGCCAACTTTCCATGGGATTCTCTTTTTATCATGTACCCAGTTGATGGCAAAAAAAAAAAAAAAAAAAGACCACACAGAGGCGGCCCCAACACAGGAGCCCTGAGAGTTTTCAGTGAGAATGCTTTTCTCCCCTCACTGCCCCTCCACTTAAATCCCCCACTCGGACGTTGTCAGCATCCGCCAAGGTAGCTATTCCTCCCATTCCTTTGATGACCAAAGAGGTACAATGGAATGTCAGCCATCCTATTAGCCCTAGAAAACGCCCGTTCTTCAAACTAAAAATCTCTCCTGCTTCCTTTTCTTGCCTTCTGTCCTTTTAATGCCCGTCGTATGGGCCCTTGAACACATGGGAAAATTATGTGAACTCACAAAAAGTAAGAGCATGTGTTCAAAATGGATTCTGGTGTCCTCTTCACAATTAGCCATTTTAAACTTCTGTGAATTGAAACTATAATGCCTATTTCAGTTTTACCAGTCTTCATTTACAGTGATAAAACTATGGAAACTGACTGGATTGCTTTCTCATTACAAAAGGATACAATGGCGTGAGAATGGATGTCAAATTCCTTTGAACTTGATGTTTGTTTACAAAAATAAGACTTGTTAAATAAATCTAGAGTCATTTTGAATAGGCGGCTATTGTTTTTATATTGTGTAATAACTAGCTTACTCTGAAATATAGCTTGGGTAAACAATAAACTATATTGTTACTAACTGTTGGCTTCTGTGTACTTTGCAAAAATTTTGTTTTTAATGTGATTTACATCTTATAAGTTCTAATTGGCTTCTTAATGAGATTCTCTTAACTATTAAACATTTATTAACCAGAAAGGACCTCCACCCCTTGTAATAAATGAAAGAGTGTGGTTGATGGTATATGTTCACAGAAACCCCAAGTGCAACTTAATGGGTCCTCTGCACTCCCTTCCAACTGGTCGAAAGCCCTTAATGAGTTCTTGTGGTTTAATATCCCATCTCAACTAACTCCAACTTCATACTTCAAAAACCAAGCATCAAGCACAGTTTTCTCCAAACAACTGAACCACCTTCCCTGTCAAATCTCAGGCTTGTGAATGTAAATCCTACAGTTCTGTTGCTGAAATCGCTCACTGCCCAGATCAGTTTTAGTGCAGTCTCCAAATTTGTAACTTGGCTCTGATTTCTTTATTGCCAGGAAGAAATAGGTTGCTGACATTTGAAAGCCTTTGAGAGATTTTTTTTTTTTCTTATTTCTGTTTCATTCTTCAAATAAAAGCAATACTCCAAAATAGAAAATGAAAGTTTTCATTAAACGAGGAAAAAGTTTCTTGTTAAAATCAGTTTATTAACTATTCTGGGCCAAAGAGTGACAAATACTTTTTTTTTACCCCCATAACTAGGATGGATATTATAAAGGTGCGTTTTAACTTCCACGGGAATATGCTTTCCATAATTACTAGAACGTAGAATACTGATTTTCCTGTGACTTAAAGAGCACAATTGGTATTCCAAAGCTATCAGTGCTTGACAGCTACAATTCTAAATGCACTAAAAGTTTTGAAGCAAATCTACCTTAGAAAATGTTTTGGATTGTATTTTTTAAAAAGATTTGGGCTTTTATTTAAATGATTTTGAGCTAAATTCTATATCTGGAAAGATGCTAGTATCTTCCCATAAATACTGAATATGTTTCATTTTATTTTTAATCAAGTATTTTGTAGAAATCATTAGTTGGGGAAAGTTTAACATGCACTATTTATACACCCTGCTGTTAACAGGCAATATTCTGAAACTAAATTTATTTTTGTTCCTTGAACATAAGTTTAGATTTTAAAGTTGGTAGATAAATTATCTCCACTAATATTTTTTTAAGAAACTGTGAAGAGATTAACGGGAAATAATTTTATTTCAGATTTTACTAATGTAGTGTGTAGCTAAAACCTCTTAAAATTCAAGTGAAAGCTAGACTTTTACTTTGAAATAATTCTATTGATATTTTTCCAGTGGTATTTCATTTTAGAAATGTGTTTGCCATTCATTTGCAGAACTGTTTGACAAAGGGAATATTACCAAAAACTGTTCAGAGATGAAACTTCATGTTAAGTGCTATGAAAATATTTATCAAATGGATGTATTCTTAAAAAAATTTTAATTCCCTGCTAAGGACTTTTTCATTAAACAGTCTTAGAGGGTATATGCTTTCTAGAATTTGTTTTTGTTAATATGTACTTTGATGTAAAGAACATATTTTATATGCAAAACATAGAACTTGAGTTATGGTTACAAAATACATTATATTGTTTAGGGATTCCAGAAAGACTTTAATGCTAAAATAACTTTATCTAGTATGTAGTCCATGTTGTGCAGCTTTGCTTTTGTAATAGATGAATAAACACTTTCTAATGACCTTGATTCTTCTTTTTTGAAAACTAGGATCCATTAGTTTCTTAGTAACTCTCTGGAATGTAAATGCTAATAAAAGAAAGTTTTATGGTTACCTTGGTTTGGATTTCTGGATTGCCTTATTTGTGAGAGGTATCCATGAGTTAAAAACAGCTCTAGGTCTACACATTGGTTTCCTGTTTCCTCTCTTTAGTCAAGATCTGGTTACTCTGATGCTGTACGCCCAGCCCCAAGGTTCTGGCAGTAACTGGGAAGTCTGGTTCCAGTGCTCAGCTGTCCCTGTTACATCTGAGACGCCAGTGACTGTTAGGGCAAATCGATCTTCAAGATGTGCTGAGTTCTGTTTGATACTAGTCTCTGGTGGGCCACATTACTGACTGAGAAAACACAGCCATACCCCATTGTTTTAATCTGTTTGCAAAATATCAAACACTTGATCAGCAATTCAGAAATTTTAATTCTGCTTTGAAAAATACTTCTGTACAATGTTATCTTTCTCATAAAGAAAACAAGACATGACTTCTGATGTGCCAATGGTTTCTTGAAAGCACAGATACTTTACATTGCGTCCTTGTCTCAGGTCTTCCAGAAATCCTGTTTTGAGCTTGTTAAGTTCTTCTGCCAGAAGCTTCAAGTTATAAGGAATTACTTGTTCACCTAAAGTAAAGATATGTTCACATTACTTGTATCAAATCAATCTGGCCTGTCTGATAACACCAGAAAATCTTATCAATTGATCACGTCAGACAAAGCAGTCACAGTCTATAAAAAAGCCCAAGTGAGTTGGCAGTAATGGGACCTGCTGTCACGTAGGTTCCAACATTTGAAATGATGACATGGTTTAAACTTTCGGACTAAAAACTAATTAACTCCTTACTTAGTGTTAAAGGGACACAATTAGCAGTAGACTCATAACCAAGCAGCACACCCAATGTACCTTTTGCTTCCTTCATTGTCTGAGAGATAATTCTTCGGAGCATCTGATCAACTTGATGAAGAACATTTGTAGAACAAATCAGTCTGTCTGTTTCCTATGTAATACACACACTGGGGCAGTTACATAGTTCTGTAAAAGAATTGACTAGTGTGTAGATGCTTAACGGAAGGGACTAAAAACAACCTGAAAAGTTAAACTGGTTTTTCTGTCCCGGTTATTCTTCCCTAGGAGAAAATTCAAATAAAACAAGAAAAGTTGTAAACTGGGTTCCATCTACGCAGTGATGTGCTAGGAAATGTTTAATACCTTGCTCTGGAAGGAAAACAAAAACACCTTTTTTTGTAGTGACTGCCAGTTTGAGGTGTAAATACTCCCATCCTGTCCCATTTCATGCTGTCAAGCTGACATCAACTATCTCCAACATTTCTGAAAATTTAATTAGCTCTGACCAGCTGGTATAAGCTGCCACTAGGGCACCACTGTGTCCAGCACAGGCTGAAAGCGAGCAATAAAAGAGTGCCCACATTTCACTGACGGTCAGTATCACTCCACTCAAAAGGGTCGCCCTCGAAAAAGCCATTCTTTATACAAAATCCCCACTGGAAGAAGACTTACCTTCGCTTCCCGATTGTCCTCAACATTTTTTACGGGACTTTCCAAAGCAGTAAGCAATAAATCAGTCACCTCCAAGCTACAAGAGAAAGTAAGGTAAAATAAAACATATCCTATGGCAAATACTTTAAAAGAACTCATGTTTATGAATATTAAACTAAATCCTAGAGAAATACAACTGGAATCCGAGATTCTAAGCAGGGGGAAACCCCTGAAAATGAAATAGTTGAAATTGACCTCTACTTGCAAAATCTAAATGTAGATGTTCAAACTATTAGACAAAAAAACTTCTGCGTTTTAAAAATACTAATTTCCCAAGACTTGGCAAAGTATTCTCTTCCCCCACTAAGCACTGAGTTGTAGGCTGTGAGCACTCCACCACTTTGTCCTAAAGCAAGATGTTCAATCTCCACTCTCCCATTTCCAGGACTTGGATTAATAATGCTTCTCTCTGGGATAGGGTCTACAGAGGGCCTCGGTAGGATTCGCTCACTAACAAATGTGTTGAGCATATTTTTATATGCAAAATGCAACTACTTATGGGAAACTGACAGACTGGGGGTGTATCAAGTTCCCTACCCTCTTCAAGCTTGGCAATGTAATGGAGACAGACATTAATTAGTAGGTAAAAATTAGAAGGTGACTGGGAAGTTAAACTAATTCTTCACTTTAGATAGGATGGCCAGGGAATTGTTTAAGCATAAAAATTGGGGCAGAAGGGGACAGCAAGTGAAAAGGCTCTGAGGCCAGCACACATTTCTGGTGGGCTTGAAACAGTGAAGGCCAACAGTTTGGCTAAAAGCAGCCAAAGACAGTGGTAAGCTACAAGGCAGAAGAGTTCATAAGGGTTAGCACACATAAGCTGGAATGAAGAGTTTTGATTTTACTCAGAGTGCAGGAAGTAACACTGAAAATTTTTAAGCCAGTGAACTCATGGGAGTTCAATTTCAACCTCGAGATGGTCTTCTGAAACTGGCAAGAGCATGAGGTCCATCCTAGAGGGTGACCACTGCTCTGAGACTCTGAACACACATCACGAATGAAACATTAGGCTCAGCAGCCCACAGGCCTCATGTAAGCACAACTGGGATTCTGCACCAGTTCCCCTTCCACATAGGGCAACACAGACAAAAATATCTTAGCAAAAGGAGTCCTGGTGTGGCGCTTTAGGATCAGCACTGGACGCTAGCCATAAAGGTTGGCGATTCAAACCCACCAGATGGTCCTTGGAAGCGCTGTACAGGGTCGCTTTGAGTCAGAAGTGAATTGATGGCACATGCCATATTAGTAATGAAAGGGGCGGCCTGGAGATGTACTGAAAAACCAGCCGCTGAAAACTCCCAAGCACCATTCTCTGACACATGTGGTTATCGTGAGTCAGTCAATGGGACTATTGGTAGTATTTTAGCAAGAGCATCAGAGGATGTACCCCTACTCTGCAAGCTCAGTGACCCTGGTCAAACAGAACTGTCTCACTTAAGTTTCCTCTTCTACAAAAAGGAAAGAGAACAGCATCTCCCCAAGGGCTGTGTGAATGTTGATGCAGGTAAAGCATTCAGCAGAGTGCCTGACACCGGAAAGGCACCTGTCGGGGGCAGCTTTGGATACCTGAGTTCAGAAGAACATGCTGGACTCTGAATTGTGAGGCTGTTGTGTTCCCAAGCATTTTTCTCAGGGTTGGGCTTTTCTATCTTTCTTCCCATCAGGTGAATGGTCTCAGCTGGCAGTGCCCTTGGCCTCTGGCCATTCCTCTGTAGACAGGTCTCAAGAGGACAATCTAAAAAGAGCTGGCAAAAGCCTAATGAATCTGAAAACAGTGTAAAACCACATAATTACTGGGGCTCTCTTTTTCCAAAATGTGAAATACATACTAGACAAATTATCCCAGCTGCAGCAGGAAAAACCATTTGTACTAATGACCAGATTTTTTTTTAAATATCAAATCAATCCATATAAATCTAATCCAATTGTATCCTCACTGAAGATGGTAGTGATTTTGACATGCCTATAAGTGTCTCCAGGTGTAAGAAAATAACGTTTTAATTACATTTCCGAGCCAGCTGGTAGACTTCATATCTCATGCTTTGATAATAAAAGTTGTCATCCAAAACCAAAAGCAAAGATCTGGAAACGGCTATCTTTGTTAGGAGGTAGCAAGGCTGGGCCTCACGCGCTGAGGAAGACAGTAGATCTTGATCCTTTAAGCAGGTAATAAAGTCTTCCCACATGGCTTCAGTTCTGTTGGGTGGGGCAGACATCGGACACCCGTTAATGACAGCCATCAAAAAGCAATCCAGGTACTTCATCAGTTCCTGTCGAAGCAATTTCCATTGGGATGGCTACAAAAGACGGAAGAATTGTCATTTATACCAGGTTCTGGCCAGGGGGGGTAGTTGTCTGGGCTGCTTACTCATATGGAACCTCAGCCTTCCAGTAAAACTCATTCTCAAACTGGTTGTGATAATGTCAAACCCGCTCAACTTGGCTAGAACCTTTGTCTCTTCTCTGTCAGGGGCCCCACGCCTGCGGCAGCCATTCGCTATATAGTTAATATAACACACTGGTGCCTACGTAAAGCTAGGTACACTAGCTTTTGCGACCAGTCTAGGCCCGCCCCCTCCGTACTGACCAATGGCCGTAAGCTAGCCTCGTCGAGGAAAGCGTCCGGCATGACGTCATCGTAGACTACCACTCCGACAGCCCAACCCCGCTCCTGCCGCAGCCGGTGGCCGAGGGCCCGTGCAAAGGTCGTCTTTCCTGCTGCAGGCAGGCCGCACAGGACGCACAATCCCAGTTTCTGCTGCCCTTCGCTGCCCGGTCCGCTGGCTTCCTCGCCGGCCTTCATACTGCACAGGGAACCAAGGAGGCTGGGAGCGTTCTTGCCCGAATTCCGTCCGCCAGCGGCGCACGCGCAGTCTCCTGTGCTTCCTGACGCCGCGGCGGAGGAATGGGCGAGTCCGAACCTACGATTGCGGTCGGACCTGGTTCCGAGTGCGCCCCCTAGGCGCTCTGTGTGGCACATTACCCTGCTCCTTCCCGGGCCCTTAGGGGGTCATTGGAAGGTTAGTTACTGGAAATGCACTCTCCTTTCGGGAATTCAGGGACAAAGTAAATGCTGGTTCTTGCTCCCTAGGAGTCCTGGAGTGGCACAAGGTCGGCAGTGCAGACACGCCAGCCGCACCCGGAAGCCCCATACATGCGTCGGCGGGGAGTGAGGCGCTGAGCGCGGCCAGGGAGCGGCCTTAAGACCGCAGTTGCGATGCTTGCATGCAAAGGACGAGTAGGTATTTATTTTGTTGTTATGTGCCGTGGAGTTGGTTCCGACTCATAGCGACCCTGTACAGGGTTTCCGAGGCTGTAAATCTTTACGGGAGCAGAAAGCCTCATCTCTCTCCCGCAGAACTGCTGGTAGTTTCGGACTGCTGACCCTGAGATTAGCAGCCCGATTGGTAACCACTGCGCTGCCAGAGCTCCTTAGTAGGTATTTTAGTGGTGGAAATATTACTGAGTTATGAGTCCTGGTGTGGTGCTGTGGGTTAATGCGCCAGACTGCAAAGCCGTTTGAACTGCAAGGTCAGTGGTTCAACCTCACCAGCTGCTCCTGGGAAACACCTGATACAGGATCGCTATGGGTCGGAACCGACTAGACGACACTTAAAAAAACAACAGGGGTATAAAACAAGACATTCCTTGTGGATGAGTATCATATAAAAACATTGAATTCCGATTCTGGCTCTCACCTTCGTGGGAAGCACGAAGTGGGGAGTTCCAATGTGGTGAACAGTGGGGCTATAATAAATTAGTTTTTAAACCCAAACCATTGTCATGGAGTTGATTCCAACTTACAGTGACCCTGTATTGGGAACTTCTCCTCTTTCTCCCAAGCAGTGACTGACCCTTAGTGTGTCAGCAGTCCAGTTCTTGGGGGGCGGGGTCCACCCCTACTCCGCAAAGGAGGGCCCTTGCCTTCTCCTAACCAACAATGACCAGGAGGGGCTCCGAGGAGCCACACAAAGCTTTATTAAAGTGATAGGCCTGCAAGCGAAGACGAAAGGTATAAAACGACATTCCTTGTGCGTGAGTATTGTTGTTGTTGTTATGTGCCGTCGAGTCGGTTCCGACCCATAGCGACCCTGTACAGGGTTTCCGAGGGTGTAAATCCTTACGGGAGTAGAAAGCCTCATCTTTCTCCCGCGGAGCAGCTGGTAGTTTCGAACCGCTGACCTTTAGGTTCGCAGCCCGATTCGTAACCACTACGCTACCAGAGCGCCTCTGTGCGTGAGTATAGTATAAAAAAATTGAATTCCAATTCTACACTTAACAACAGCTCCCCTCGCCAGGCCTAACCCCATCAACTCCACCAGAAACTGAGCTGGGATACTAAACATTTTCAAGTGGAAAAGATCTCCTGTTTAGTCATTATAATTCAGGGGAGAGGATGGGGTTTGTCAGGGAACGGTTGGGCCATGCTAATAAGGATGTGTGTACAGCGGGTTTTCCAAGATGGAATTACTCTGGTCAAGTGCTATGTCAACCATACTGGTGCATTCTCTTCTTCCACCGCTCATCACCTACTTCTGTAACACAACTTTAAAGGAGACTTTTAGGTATCAAATACGTGGTTGGATAACCACAACTCTTGACTCCTGATGTGGTGCTGTAGGATCAGCACTGGACTGGGAACCGCAAGGTCCTCAGTTCAAACCCACCAGCTGCACCTTGGAAACCCTATACAGGGTTACTATGAGTCACAACTGACTGGACAGCACTTACCAACAACAAACTACAACTCCAGTGGTTCTCTTGGAGCATCTGATCAAGGATTAAGGACCAGAGATGGGAAATGGGTTACAGATTGTCATGCATTTCATGGAATAAAATGAACAGGAAAGTGATTATCTGGAAATGTTACCAAGATCAGTTCAACAGCAATTGTTAGAGTTATAAACATATATGGACCCAGATCAGTCTAATTTTTCTCCAAAACTATGTAGGTCACTTTCCCCTTCCTCATTTCAGAGAAAGGACACTACCAACCACCCAGTGAAACTAGCATTCATCCCAGAGACTGCCCTATCCTCCCCCAAATTCAATTCATCTGTAAGTTCCCATTTTCCCTTCAAAGTATGTATCCATGTTCATTGCCTCCATTCATTCCAGGCCTCTCCAGAGTCAGTTAACTCTAACTGAAACCACTGTTACCAGCTGTGTTTCACAATTCAAAAATTTTCGGACTTAGAATCTGTGATATGTATGATTTTTAAAACGGTCATTTGAGTCCACTGGCAGCAGCAGTAACAGCAGTGAGGATGGTGCAGGACTGGGGAGTGTTCTGACGGTACCCAATAACAACAATAACTTGGGTTGTAGGACAGCATCACATAATCAAATACATTAACATTTCTACAGTGAAACGCAGGGATATTTATCCTACAGGGCAAACAGATAAAGACCATAAAAGGATTGCTGTATATTTATATGAAGAAAATCAACTAGTAAATTACATGTACATAAAATGTATTGAGAGTAATTTACAGCCTCTCTTTCTATATCCAAGGAGCTCTGGTAGCGTAGTGGTTATGAATTGGGCTGCTAATCTCAAAGTCAGCAGTTCGAAATTACCAGCAGTTCCACGGGAGAAAGGTGAGGCCTTCTGCTCCCATAAAGATTTACAGCCTCAGAAACCCTGTACAGGGTTGCTATGAGTCGGAACCAACTCCACGGCACATAACAACAACTATATATATACAACAACTATATATATATACACACATACATACAAGGGGGCTTCAAAAAGTTCATGGAAAAATGGAACTGAAAGGTAATGGAATTTTCCCACAAACATTAATGTCCCCTTTTATATATAGTATATATATGTGTATGGAGAGAGACTATGTAATACTTAATAGGAAAAACAATAAAAATGAATAGCAGGGAAAAAAAATGAATAGCAGAGAAACACTGTCAGATACAGGACCGGAAAATGAGCCCCTCAGGTGGGAAGGCACTCAGAATGCGACTGGGAAAAAAATGCCTCCTCAAAGTGGAGTTGACCACGATGACGTGAATAGAGTTAAGCTAGAGGGAGAAAAGCGCACAGAACCTTCATTTGCTGATGAGCCACAACTCAAAATGAAGAGAAATAGCTGTAAACATCCATTGAAAATTGGAACATGAAATGTACGAAGTATGAATCTAGGAAAATTGGAAGTTGTCAAAATGAAATGGGACGCATAAACACCGGTATCTTAGGCATTAGTGAGCTGAAATGGACTGGTATTGGCCATTTTTAATCTGAGTGATGTATTCTCAGATGACACACGTGTTGTTACTTTATCCCTTTATTGGTGATGTTAACTTTAGTTGCTTAAATTGACCTTTGTCAAGTTTTACCTAGGAAATATAGTAACAATAAATACACTGAGTTTTTAGTCCTCTCCTTTATTGAATCATCATGTATTTATATCAGAGTAAACTCATGACTATTCAGTGGGCTACACTGTTACTAAGAGTATTTATTTAGTGCTCCAGTTGTCTCAGAGTGGCAAGTGGCAGGCTTATTAAGCTGGCTCCTCCGTCCTTTGTCTTGTCCTTCATCATTCTTCAAGCGTTTCCTTATTTTGTGACACATCAAGATGTTCCAGGCCCATCTTATTTCCTTACCCTAGCCTAGCAATCTGCAAGTTCTTCTGGCAGCCATGACTCCTTTCCATGAAGCATGGTGTGTTGGGACTGTATACCACTGCTCTGTCCGTCTCAGCAGACAGCAGGGAGCCATCTGTATCATCCACCCATCCATCACCCAGCATGAGGTCATCTTTAATCCCAAATCAGCACCATAGGGTTCATCTTAGACTTTTCCCTCTCCCTATTGGTAACTCCCTTCTCTATCAGTAAGACATTTAGCTCCCATTACCAAAATATATACTTATTTGCTCAATCACAGAATACGCTATCTCACACCACTGACAAAAACCTACTGAGAGTTCAATACAGTTCATTTTAATCTTCAGTATGTATAAACAACATCAACAACGTATAAAGTAGCCTTCACAGCGGCAGCCGCAATTAATGACTGAGGATGGCGCAGGACCGGGCAGCTGTGGGCAGGGTCGCTATGAGGAGAACCAACTGGAAAGAACCTAACAACATAGGAGCCCTGGGTGTGCAGTGGCTAAAGCACTAGTTTGCTAACTAAAAGGCTGGTGGCGGGCTCAAACCTGCCAGCTGCTCCACAGGAGACAGATGTGGCGGGG